GGATCAAATTATTGTCATATGGTTGGTGTCTGAGCTGCACTTCAAACTGCTGGACCACAGGTACTTCCCGTATTGGTTTTTATGAACACATTTAGAATTTAGATTTTAAATATTATCTTCAGCAGCGTTAGCAGCGCCGTTAACAGCAGAGCAGCATTATTACCAGTGGCTAGCAGTGGCCATTGTTGATCTTTGTTGCAGGATGATGACATCATCCTGTTTGCTAATTTCTGCTAATGCTGCTAACACTGCTAAAGATAATGTTTAAATCTAAATTCAAAATGTGTTCATAAAAAAAACAATTTGGGTGGTCCAGCAGTTTGAAGTGCATTCCAAAATACCTAAATGTGAACTTCAACATTTAATCACAAAATTTAAACATTTAGATTTTACATTTAGATTTCAACATTGAGGATTTGATATTAAATATTGACATATCCGTTTAACATGTAAATTCAACATTTAGTAAAGCTTAGCTAAATGTAAAAACAGTGCGGTAAATAATGAAAAATGTTAGTGAAATTGTTTAACATTTTATTTTAAACTTGGTGCTCCATGAAAAATAGCAAAATGCTAGCTACAAAATAAAAGTAACAAGATGCAACCTAAAAAGTAAAATGAGAAAAAAACTTTTACTAAAAGTAGAAAAATGCTAGTTAAAAGCTGCTATAATCCAGCAAAAAGTAGCAAAATGAGAGCTAAAAGTAGCAAAAGGTAACAAAGTAGCACAAGTCTAGCTAGAAGTAGAAAAATGCTAGTTAAAAGCTGCTATAATCCAGCAAAAAGTAGCAAAATGAGAGCTAAAAGTAGCAAAAGGTAACAAAGTAGCACAAGTCTAGCTAGAAGTAGAAAAATGCTAGTTAAAATGTGAAAAGAGCCAAATGGTAAGTAATATTGCAAAATCTTTGCTAAAAAGGGAAAGATATAGCAAGAAATGCTACCTAAAATTTAAACGTGGCAAAACAATAGCTAGAAAGTAAAATGAGTACTAAATGTAGCAAAATGCTTATTAATATTGGCAATATTTTTTGTAAAAGGTAAAAGTATCAGAATATTAGCTAAAAGGCAATAAAAAGCCAATTATATCAAAAAGTAGCACGGTAAAAGGTAAAAGCAGCTAAACACTAGCTAAATGAGCAAGATGCTAACGAAGTGTTCCTCGACAGGGATGTTGACTCTGTGGTCTTTGCCATCAGTAGAGGAGATGTGGAGGCTGTTAATGATCTGACAGCATCTTCATCTCACTGCCTGATGAGGGAAAACAAAGATGGATGGTTACCTTTGCATCATGCTGCATTCTATGGGCAGGCTGAGTGCTTGAAGGCCATATTGAGAGGTAACAACATTCAAAACAGCTTTGGTTACTGAGGTGTACCAAAAAAAAAAAAAACCTGTTTAGTTCATGTATTTTCTCCTCCAGTCCATCCAGGTTCAATAGACAAGCGGACGCTGCAGGAGCAAACAGCACTGCTGCTCTCTGTGTCATGTGAACACTTGCCCTGTGTGCGCTGCCTTCTGGAGTCAGGCGCTGACCCTGACATCTGCAGCAACAACAAAGAAACCCCCTTATATAAAGGTATGACTATGAAAACCATAGTGTTGGATTAATATACAAGTAAGTGACACGTCCTCTCTCTCGGCAGCATGTGAGCTGCAGAATGTGGACATGGTGAGCCTCCTCCTGTCACATGGCGCCACTGTGAACCAGCGGTGTGCTCAGGGCTGGACGGCCCTCCACGAGGCTGTGTCCAGGAACAACACAGAGATCTGCGGGATTTTAATRAGAGCCGGGGCCACGATCAATCCACCGAACACCTACAGCGTCACACCTCTCATTGTAGCAGCTCAGCGAGGACTGATGATACCACTGTCTTACCTTATTGAGAAAGGTAGGGTAKTTATTTTGAGTTCACACTCTGACGCCTCAGATTTCTGTTTGATATTAAAGGACAGTGTTTTTTTTCAGGTGCAGATGTGAACATACAAACGTGTGACGGTGCTACGGCGCTGCACGAGGCGAGTAAAAACGGCCACAGGGAAGTTGTAGCTTTGCTGCTAACTAAAAACGCAGATGCCAACAAACCTACTAACTCAGGACTGTTGCCTCTGCATGTTGCAGCGCAGTACGGACACCATGAGTAAGTTAGAATRCTTGACATGGTGTCCCTGTTCATCTTGTGATGTAATATTTGGATTGTAGTGTGGTAACAGTTTTTTGTGAGTTCACATACATCTCTCCGTTTTGTTTTCAGGATCGTGTCTCTGCTTGTCTCTGTCACGAGTCGAGCCATGCTCCGGCACAGTTGGATCACGCCCCTGCACCTGGCAGCGGAGCATGACAGACACGCTGTGGCAGCTGTGCTGCTGAGAGCAGGTGCAGATGTGAACGCCACTCTGGCGCTCGCTCACTCCAACCGCTACTCCGATCGGCGTGCCACGGCTCTCTATTTTGCCGTTGCCAACAGCAGCACCAGAACAACAGAGGTGCTGCTGAAGGCCGGGGCCAGTCCAAGCCTGGATCCGGTCAGTCCCCTGCTAGTGGCCGCTCGTCTGGGCTGTGTCACCACCGTGTCCTTGCTGCTGGAGCGAGGAGCCGATGCAGACGCCAGAATCCCGTCTCATCTCACGACATTCCCAGCAATGATCGCCCTTTGCTTGAATAATCTACCTCTTCTGAAGTGTGTTTTGAAGCACAGCTGTGATGTCCGCTCCTGTTTTACCTGTACCTACGGGGGAGCCTCTCACCCTCCTTCAGGCGTTGACACTAATAGTCCTGACTGGATGATGGCTTTAAACTGCAATGAGCCACCAGAACGAGCAACTCAGGTGAGGARGAGGAGCTAAATTGTGATCATTTTGACATGATGAAAGGTTAAAGTCAGTAATAAATAACTCATTTTTCAGTTCTGTGAGTGGATCTCAACACCTGCTATGTGTAAGTGGGCCGGACCGGTCATAGACTTGCTGCTGGAGCACGTGGGTTCTGTTCAGCTGTGCAGCAGGCTCACTGAGCTCCTGGACAGCACAGCAGAATGGCACTGCACCAAGAGGAAGTCATGTAAGTGTTAGATAAAACCTTCGCACGCACATGCTCGAAAGGAAACAATTTTCTTTCATCCTATCCAACTTCCTCAGAACAAACGTTCCTCATTCATGCACACTTCCCACACACCTTATCTTCTGTTTTATTTTACAGCRTCACCACGCTCCCTCCTGCACCTTTGCAGATTAACGATTCGGACTCAGATGGCGAGAGACAAACTGAGATCTATTTCAAGCTTACCTCTGCCAAACAAACTGATAAGATATCTAAGTATGTCTGACTGACTGCAGAAAAAAAGACACCTCACACAAAGGGGTTTTCAGAGATGTGACTAAATGTATCTTTTCATGTGTTTTTTTTTAGTCCTGTCTGATATTTTAAATCTGTAAATGCTGCTTTTGTGCATAAATATCTATTTATAACATATTTGAAGCAACGAGGCTCTTTAATCTGTCAAAATGCTGTTTTCTTCAGAAATGCTAAAAAAAGATGGAAGAAAAGTAAGAAACATTGAATCATTTATTTAAAGAAAATGAAAGTTGTCATGTCAGAAACATCAAACGTGTTGCAAAGATGAYTTTCAGAGTTAAAAGTGGACGCTGTGACAGCTGATTCTTGTGAATGACTTTTTGTACCTAAAATAGAGCTGTCATTCTCTGTACAGAAGAAACTTTTAAACTTACTGTCAGTGTTTATAGGTGCATGAAACTGACATAAAACGGAAGCAGATTTTTTTTGAGCCAGTGCAGTTTAGGTTTTAAAAAAAGAGATGCAGGATTCCAGAAAGTGCTCAAGGAAGTGTCTCATTATGAAACTCCAAAATATCATTATTAAAATGAACAAATAGTCCTATTTACACAATCCGGTGTGATGGATGGCTGATTAAATGAATCCGAACACACTGAAGATGGGTGACTGAGCAGTGGGCTTMGTGGGGATGGGTTTGACCACCACGTGCGTGTGAAGTCTCTGTACATAAGGCTGCTCCTCAGTCCCTGAAGCCTTGCTCCACAGTGCCAGGGGCGGATGAGGGACAACAATGTGGCTGTGGAGGACATGGTGTCCATGGTACTGAAGCGGGCAGCAGCCGCAGACGCTCACCGAGTGCTGCGAGCTCACATCCAGCTTCAGCACCTCTCGATCCGCAGAGCTGCGCCGATTGGAGGGAGAGGCCTTCGCGTCATCATCCCCGCTCGTTTTTCTCTTTTCGCCTCCATCGGATGCTCCCACGGGGCTTCTCCTCGAGCACGATTTGTCCCGCTTGGCTTTGGTCAGCCTGGGTTCCTCCCAGAACGAGGCAGGCAGTTGGCGCTTCCTCATGGGCACCTGCTCCACGCCTCCGACGCTCTCCGCGTCCCGCGCGTCAGAGCCGCCCTTCTGCGCGCTCTGATGAGCCGCTCCCGCCGGCTTGAGACACCTGTAGTCCGTGGACCTGTGTGTGTGACACCTCGGCACTCTGGAGTACTTCTGAGAGAAGCGCTTCAGCTGCTTCTGCAGGTATTTTCTGTGATCCACGGAGCGCCGGCACGGAGCCGACTTGTCCAGTGCCGCCTTGATGTCGCTGGATGCCAGGTTTACAAAATTGAGCAGCGTTTTGACTTCGCTGTCTGCATTTGCCATGTTTGCCAAGTCTTTAGCCTGCCTCATCAGTCCATGTTATAATCAAATGTAGCCAGCAGAAAGATCTGGAACAAAATCAAAATTATCACTTTGCGTAATTACGCACAAAAGGAATCCCGACCTAACAGTTTTACATAACTACCCAATCCTTCAGTTTTGCTCACCTGATGAATCCTCATAGAAACAGTCCAACAAACTTCCCTCCAGACTGCGGGAGGACTTCAACAAGTTGAATGAATATAAACTCCTTGTAGTTATGGTCCTTTCCTTGAACCAATCAGCGACCCCAGGCCCCTCACAATGCACCCCAATCAGTCTCCAAGTGCCCTGGTATCAAATTCTTCCCCGGTGCAAATTGTTGTCATGGAGCTGTGAGGAAAGTGGTCAAAAAGGATGCGATAACTGCGCGTAACGCTTCCTAAAACGCGCAACCATCTCTATTTTAAAAAAATGAGCGTAAAATGAGTTCATTTGAATCTTTGGTCGTGTTTTATTTGCTTTTTAAAGTAGTTAATGTTCCCCAAAAGTGATGTCAGCTATAAGATTTGGTGAGGGTTTGAGTGGTGGGGTGGTGGTGGGGGGTGATCTAAAGAGTGCATAACCATGGAAAGGGGGCTTGAGCGCTCAAGAATCTTGTCTTTCTGTTTGCCTCCTCAATCGAGCGACACAAAAGCTGAATTACTCATTCAAACCTCGCGGGACAAAGGGGGAAGGAGCTGGATTGCACTCCTGCATTTGTAGTCAAACATTTAGAGACTTAAATCGAGTCGTCATGAAGGAGAAAGAGTCGGACAAAGCCCATAGAATTGCCATCAGCAAACATTTTCCTGTGTCATATTATGGGGTCTCCATGGCTCCCTCTGGCCCGCGGACAATAGCACAAGTTTGCACACTCGAACACTGTCACCCTGCCAACGGCAACAAGGACCCCCCCCAAAAAACAGGACAATCCCCAGAGAAAGCACGGGCTCCGCGGGGAAGGTTGCATTAGGGGAGGAAAATGGGACTTGTGAAATGCTAATTGAGCTTCATCCCTTTATTGAACTGGGAAAGTATCGTTCTGCTGGAGCCCAGCAGCGAGATGTGAGGGAGCCATTTCTCTGCTGAGTGGCACTCCACGCATGTCCTGCACCAGGAGAGAATTTATCTTGTGGAAATCTGCAGCACATGTCCGGAGTGTGAGACTGTGTTATGTGCTCAAGGCTGTCCATCCCTCTTCTTACAGAAGAGAGGCAAATGGGACCCCGCATTGTCCCCAACTTCTTCCTTCCCTCACCTCTGTTCAGCTGAAAAGACCAATTAACAATGGGACTCCCCCCCTCCCCGGGCCTGTCACCCCACTCCTGTGCTTTTGAAGTGGAGAAGAATGAGGAAAAAGAAAGAGGAAGCATATGTGGCATCTCTTAATGGCAGCTGGTGGATCCTGTTTTAACATTTGTTGGCTTGAGCTGAGTTGTTTCAGAAATTTCTATATTTATGTGTCCTTTTTATTTCATGGGAACAGAGGTGTGTAGATGTGAACAAGTCTATTGGTGTATCTTTCAGTGCATTCAGACGTGTGTTTAGCCTCCTCTGACAGGGAATTCTTGTTCTGGTTTAAAAAGAAACTAAATCCAGTTTGACACCATCCATATGTTGACAGAGGATAGTCATGAACAAGTGCACTTCTTCCTGCATGCTGGGCTTTTAAATAACATCAATAAAATAACTGTATTTTGATTCCCATGAAAATCTGTAAATTAAGGATATTACACAGTTGGGAAACCTAAAAACACATCAGGATTTACTGGAAAATGTTTGCATTTTTGTGCCTAATCCAAAAATATTTACAAATTTACAAAACTTCAATGATAATTTTTAATATTTGATTTAGTTTGACGATCAAATGGACAACAAGAAGACTGATGTGTCCTTAGGAATTATTTATTTTGAGGTGCCAGTGATTGTTGTTTAATCACAACTTCTTCATTGATGTTGCACATATGTTTTCAGACAGAACTTTTAGTTTTTTATTTTATTTAACTTTTTGAAACATGGTGACATATTCATTTGGTGCAGAAAAATTGTCCAACCACCTCTCCAGCCCTTTTACTGACACAATATTGCAGTTTTCAAAGGAAGTATTTACTTCAGAAATCAGCCGTGTACGTCAGTAACATTACTAGCAAAAGAGAGTATGAGCTAGTTTACACATATTAAAATAATGCAKAGCCATATTGATGGGAGGATGAACCCCACAATAATTTGATCCAGTGAATACAACCCCTTAAATAAAATGAAATCATTAGAGATTAACTGGTTAAACACAAAGATGCAACTGTCTTGTTGTCTTTAGGTAACTGTGACCTGATTTAAAAATTTACRATGTATGTTTAAGCATAATTGCTGAAAATAAAATGCATGGTTTTTAGAGCATACTATAAAATAATGTCATCAAATCTGCACGTAAAAGGTGACCAGATCCCAATCAACAATATGAGTTTGAGATGTTTGTGTTGAACGATGTGACACGAGAGCTCTCATTCCAGATTAAACATTTAACTAATTTTAGCTTCAATCAATAAATTTCTTTTATTTTAATCCAGATTTTTGTTTTGATTGTTTAATTAATTTAAATGTTTAAAAAATCTTTACTTTAGGGTATGAGGCATTCATTTTGGTAACGCTTTCTTTTACGGTACCCTTATTACCATGTAATTACAAGGAAATAAAAACTTGTAATTAAATGTAATTACTACCTTATTACCTTGTAATTACGTGGTAATTACGGTACAAAAGAAAGTCTACTGTTAGTAAAACTACCTTTACTGGGTTACAACAAACAAATTACCATTCAATGGTAACTCAACACTATTTATAACCAAAAGAATGCAACTAAATTTTGGGGTTAGTGGTTAATTGCAATAAAATATAACTTCAAAACTGTCCAAATTGCCTACTACTTATTTAGGTGTTACATGGTGAATTGTAATACATTATTAGGTAAGTGCTACATTACTGCAGACAATTAATTACATAGTAAAATTGTACCCTAATTACCACATAATTACATAGTAATAAGGCAGTAATAACATTTAATTACCTTTTTAACCTTGTAATTACATGGTAATAAGTGTTACCTTTATTTTTGGTGATGTTCAGTGTCTAGTTTCCTTTTTTTATATAGTATTCTGACCCAAAAGTAAGTACAGTTTGAAATGTGAATTTGTGGTTTCATAAAATGTTTCCACATTGGACAGGAGCTAAACCATCGCAGGTTAACCTCCAGTTGACAGAAATCTTTCCTGCATTCGATCTGTCCTGCAGCGACGACTTCTGAAAGCCGCAGTCTAAATGTTGATGTCCTCGTTAAAGTGTCAAAATACTTTGCTGTCACACACATAGAGGAACATCATGGTCACATTTTCTTGCTGCACACACATTAAAGGGGACACGTCAAACTCAGGTGATGTCAGTGAAGGCTCCATGGTTGTACTTTTCCACTAGATGGCACTGCACTTCCACACAAACACATGTCCACACACTGGTACAAGAAGAAGCAAAACACTGATAGTAATAAAGATAAAAGCTGTTGAGCTCGTTTTAGCTGAATATAATAATCCACAAATGAAAGTATAATGTAAAATCTTTTTTATTATTATTATTATTTTGTCTTTTAATACAGCTGAGTTTATTTTCAGGCTGGGTTTGCAGAGATGCAGATTAAGGACCTTGGCAGATAACTCTGAAAGACTCCTGTAATTCTATAAAGAGGTTTTCATATCACGGCTGTGATGTATGTCGCAGCAGACTGCTGGTTGGTGAAATGAGTTGAGGGAGCAGGAAGCAAACAGGAGGATGTAGTGCTTTTCCTCTTTGTCAGATAATCAATACAAGGACAGACTGTGGGAGAGGATGGATGAGCTGAACCTGCTGGGCAGACTACACGCCAAACCCAGCCTTGTATGTTTTCTTTAAAAAAAAAAAAAAAGAAACACTTTGATACAGTTTGGATTTTCCACTCTCAAAGTCCCCCACAGCTCTGTGTATGAGTTCATCTCTTTACTATATGGAAGGCTTTTTGACAGGCAAGACATGTGATAAATGCTCAGCCCCAACAAAAGGCTGCAGGGCTCGCTGCTGAGTCCACTGATCCTAATCCAAAACTGTCTGAACAGTCAGCTCAGGAGTTGTTTGTAGGTTGTTGTTGTTTTTTTTTTTTTTTTTTTTTTTTTTTGGGTTGGGGGTGAGCAGTTGAGAGTGGGCTCTAACTTTAAAACCTCAAGACCCTTTTTATTTAAAAGACATTATGGATGAGTTTAAAACATGAACCATAACAGCAAATGCATGCACAGAAATAACCAATAAAACCTTAAAGCTTGCAAAGGTTTTGCCGTTTTGTCTCCTATCTTATTCTAAATAAACGGTTTCGTGTCAATGACTGTGATCAGTTTGAGTCGATTCATACAGATGAAAAGTTTTGGCCTTTTCCACATGAAGTGAGAYGCACCAGGTGAGCTCTGCAGGGATCYTACTCCCCCTGTCAATCAACCACTKTGACGTCACGTCGCCTCTTTAGTTGTATGACCGTGGGGTCATTTCATAACCGTGCCCAGTGAAGACCACCAACAACATTACGCAACTCTGCTCTTAAAACCTACTCATTGTTGCCTTGGTTTGTGCACTCAGCCCTGCAGGATCACCTCCACATGATCAGCAGATCTTATTTATGTTTCTGCTGTGTGTGTTTATTAGGAACTGAACAGATAGTACCTAAACTTACTTTAGTTAATGGAATGTACAGATATGATGAACTTTTGGAATTTAAGATGACGGCCTCAGCTACCCCAAATACATAAATTACTTTAACTCAGTCAATTTTGCAGACAACAGGCTAAAATTTACTGTGGTAGTAGCTGAGAGTCAGCGCCAGATCTGTGTTTAAAACATGCCCGTTAATTGTTTGGATAAACTGACTGTCTGTTAGCAAAATATCTCATGGACAAGTGAGCAGATTTAAATGAAACTTTCAGAAAGCCGTTATTAGACTTACAACTACAAGTGATTAACGTTTGGGGTCAACCAAATTTAAGATGGCTGTCTCAACCAACTGATCTTACCAAGCACTAAAATGGTTTAAAATCAGTCAATTTAGCAGATAATGACCTCAAATTTAACACGGTAGTAGCTGAGAGTCAGCCCCAGTGTTCTAAAACCTAAACGATCTGTCAGATCTGCAGTGCCATTGACTGCTGGGATTAACTCTGTTTGTCTGTTAGCAAACTATTTCATTAACAAGTGGGCGAATTTCAATGAAACATTCAGAAAGTCATTATTAGACTTACAACTATAACTGATTAACCTTTGAAATGAATTCAATTTAAGATGGCTGTCTCAGCTAACTAAATTTATAATGCACTAAAATGGCTTGAAATCAATTAATTTAGCAACTAATGAGCTCAAATTTAGCGTGGCAGTAGCTGAGCGTCATCCCCAGCTTGTGCTCTGAAGGCTAAAGAGATTTGCGTTTAAAACGTTACCACAGGGATCAACTCTGTCTGTTAGCAAAATATCTCATGAACTAGAAGCCGGATTTCAATGAAACTTTCAGGAAATAACTTTCAATGACTGATTAAGTGTTGGTGTCATTTCAATGCTGCCGACTGATGGTAAACACAAAAATGGATATAAATCATTCAGTTTTACAGACATTAAACTAACAATCCAGCACGACATGTTTAGTCTAAGGCGGCGGGCATGTGCAGTCAGAGCTGTCAATCAGAGCTGTCAATCAGAGCTGTCAATCAGAGCTGTCCACTTTGGCACTGCGAGCAGAGAAGAGTCAAACATCTTCTCCCCTCTGGACTTTTCTTCTGTCCATCTTTCAGGAACTCACCTCCACGCTTCAGAATAAAAAACAAACAGGTAAACAAAAACAGGAGCTCGAGCTGACAACTGATTGGTGCCCACATGACCTGCTGCTGCTGTGAGGGAGGACTGACTGACTCTCTCTCTCTCTCTCTCTCTCTCTCTCTCTCTCTCTCTCTCTCTCTCTCTCTC